TGGAAGCAGTAAATACAGGGAGGAAATGGGATATGTGATATTACATTGTAAAGATTACGATCAATGACTTACAACAAGATGTGTTTGAATTGTTGAATGGAAAATTGATTTGCTCTATAAACCTTCACCCAATTCACAATAAAGAGTTTTTGTGTTTTTTTTTAAAAAAAGCAATATGGTAAAATACAAGATCAAACAAAGACTATAAAACCCAGGAATAGACATACACATTTTTAGTGTATCATAAAGGTGTCATATCAAATGTTGTTGCTGTTGTTAGGTGCCACTGAGTCAGTACTGACTCATAGTGACCCTATGTACAACAGAATGAAACACTGCCAAGTCCTGGGCCAACCTCACAATTGTTGCCATGCTTCAGCCCATTGATATTGCCACTTTGCCAATCCATCTTGTTGGGGGTCTTCCTCTTTTTCGCTGACCCTCCACTTCACCAAACATGGTATCCTTCTCCAGTGATATTAGGGAGGGATGAAGAATGGATAATTCGATAAAGGATAAGCTAGTCACTAATTTTTTAAAGAATAAGGCAGACATGTATGCCATATACTAAATCATGGATCAGTTACTTAAACATTAAAAAGACAGTAGAAAAATGTAATTTGCTTAGATGTAAATAAAAACTACACATGAAATTAGCAAACTAGACACAAACATGACTAATACTTCTAATAAATAAAACCTTGAGTCAAGTTTTTATAAATAAGAACTTTTTGTAAGGTATTTATTCATACTTTCCAAAACAAGGAAAAACCATAACCTGACTAATAATGATAATACTGATACGTAGAATAGTTCCAATTTTTTATTTACTTTTCAATTTCCCAAATTTCTCTTGGATGTAACAGTACAAAGCAAATCTGAAGTCAGATAGACCCAAGTTGAATTCCAACTCTTCCACTAAAATTTGTGTCAGTTTGAGCAAATCATCCTACCTGTGTATCCTCCTGGTCTATAATGGAGGAGTTGTCTCTGAGGGTCATCGTGATTCTTTATAATTAAGGAAGATTACACGCTAAGTGCCTAAAATAGTGGCTGGCAAGTGCTCAAAACATGGTAGCTAATATTATTATGAAAATTCCTGTTAGAATGTTACCCATTCCATTGATCTTTCTCCTTTTAAATTACTACATAATTTTTCTGTTTCAACAGAATTAAAAGGTAAATGACAATATTCTGTTCTGAAATATGGTTCTTCACTCCTCATGTCCTTATCTTTGGTCTAATTGTTCTCATTAATCCTGTCAGAATTCTCTTCTGTATTTTATCAGTGAAATTTCACAATGGAAAATTTTTTCAGTCTTTAAACCTTATGTAAACTATTGTTGTTAAGTGCTGAGTTGGTTCCAACTCTTAGTGACCCTGTGGAGGTCCTGATATTGTTTACCTTAAATTTGTAAAGGCTGTCTACCTTGAACATTGTGCTCTGTGAAAGAACTCTACATGATATCAAATTGACAACAGTAACTTGAAAGGTTAGACAGGAAGCTAACACTGCAGTTGAGTTTATGATAACCATGAAGGAATAATTTGATAAAGGAGACTGAGAATGGTTACACAACTGGAAGAACGTAATCAATGTCCTTGAATCATACACATAGAAACTACTATGGTGTGTGTGTTTTCTGGGTATTTCCGTTAACAAAAATCTAAATAACAGTTCTGCTAGATAAGTGCCACAGATGTAGAAATACTTCTGTGGTACAAAAATTCTTAGCATCCACCATGATTCCATAGGTCTTGTATATAGTTCTGAAATGTTTAAGAATACCAATTTCAGTGATGAAACAGGTTTGGGAACTGTCACATTAGATCTCTACTCATTTGCTTGGGTCTGCAGCAAAGAGCAAAAGAAAAGCCATGACCTTTGGAATGGATTCCTAACTGCAGTTTAGCAGCCACATGGCTTTGGATATTTCCTCATCTTCTTTGAGTCGGTTTTTCATTAGGCAATCTGCATTCACAAGATTAATTTGTTGAGAGCACATTATCTAGTTATACCTGGGGCACAGTAGGAAAACTAGTGACCACTTGGATGCCATAAGAAGCATAGCGCTTTTAGCCATAATTTTCATATTTGAATTTTTATTTCAGACACTAGAGATAGAAGGAGCCCGGGTTAACATAGAACAAGAGTTAGGCTGCTAACTGCAAGGTCAGTAGTTCAAATCTATGAGTCGCTGTGTAAGAAAGATGAGACTTTCTGCTCCCATAAAGGAGCTCTGGTAGCGCAGTGGTTATGAATCGGGATGTGAGCAGCAAGGTCAGCAGTTTGAAACTACCAGCTGTTCCGCAGGAGAAAGATGAGGTGGTCTGTTCCCATAAAGATTTACAGCCTCGGAAACCCTGTGTAGGGTCGCTATGTGTCGGAACCGACTCCACGGCACATAACAAGTATTTACTGCCTTGGAAACTCTATATAGGGTTGCTGTGAGTCAGATCCAATTCAACACACAACCACCATCCACCATCAGAGATTTGCAACATACATATATTATATACTATTAGTCCATGCCTCTTAAAACTTTTGCTTCAAGTCAATTAAGATAAATAGGGAATACAATTTTTAAGACATCTCAAAATAGCTAAGGGATAAAACTACTAGGTTTGCCCACTAAGAAATACTTGTAGCAAAGAGGTAGTCACTAGAACATAGAATTGTCTGGGTTTAAGTGCTAATGCTAACTGCTATGTTGTGGTGGTGGTTAAGTGCTGTTGAATAGAATGGTGGGTTTGAACCAGCTTTGCAATTAGCAGTCCAGTGCTTGTCCTACAGTTACATCAGGACTCTATATTACTTGTTAAAGTCAAAACATTAATAGATACCCAAGTACCAAGAGAAAAGTTCTAGTGGTACAATTAAGCATGGCTGCTTGAATCCATCAGCCCCACTGCAGGAGAAAGATGTGATCTGCTCCAGTAAACATAACAAAGGAAACTGAAAACATATGGGGTTGTTCCAGTGTCCTATAGGGTCAGTATGAATCAGAATCACGTTCCAGGCAAGAGTCCTAGGATAACACAAATGTTTAAACATTTGAATAGCATCTGAAAGGGTGGTGATTCAAACTCACTGCACGATGCTTCACAAGAAAAGATCAGACTTGAAAACCTTATGGAGTTCTATTCTACACACACTGATCAGTTAGCTTGACATGAACTCCAACTGGTGTGGCATTATAAGACAAGCAATGAACTCAGTTCAAACCCACTAGCTGTTCCTTGAAAACCCTATACAGGGTTGCTGTCAGAACCTATCTTATGGTACTTATTGTGGCTAATGAGCTGCTGTTTCATTAGGTGCTGTATTAGGTACCGACCTATAGCGATCTTATGCACTGAACACTGCCCAATCTTGGGCCAACCTCATTCATTACTGTTGCCACACTTTAGTCCATCAATGCTGCCACTTGGCCAATCCATCTCATTAGGGGTCTTCCTCTTTTTCTCTGAACCCTCCACTTTACCAAACATGACATTCTCCTCCAGCGACTGGTTCTTCCTGACAATATGTCCAAAGTATGAGAGACGAAGTTTGGCCATCTTGGCCTCCAAGGAGCACTCTGGCTGCACGTCTTCCAAAACGTATCTAATGGTTCTTTTGGCAGCCCATGGCACTTTCAATATTCTCCAACACCAAAACTCAAAAGCATCAATTCTATGGTTTTCCTTATTCACTGTCCAGCTTTCACATGCAATGAGGTTATTGAAAATACCATGGCTTGGGTCAGGTGCACCTTAGTCCTCAAGCTGACATCTTTGAACCTCAAGGTCAGCGGTTCAAACTAACCAGCCACTCCTTGAAAACTATTGTAGTTGTTAGGTGCCATTGAGTAGGTACCGACTCATAGCAACCTTATGTGCAGCAGAATGAAATACTGCCCAATCCTGGGCCAACCTATCATTGCCACACTTGAGCCCATTGATGCTACCACTTTGTCAATCCATCTCGCTGGGCGGTCTTCCTCTTTTTCTCTGACCCTCTACCCTACCAAACATGATATCCTTCTCCAGCAACTGGTCCCTCCTGACATTATGTACAAAATACAAGACACGAAGTTTGGCCATCCTGGCCTCCAAGGAGCAGGGTTGCTACGGGACCCAACTGCACTTAACAAGTACCAGCACCAACTAGGAGCTTAAGTTTTAAAGTGACACCTGAATGGACTGCACAGTCTCACACTGACTTTGTCACTTCCCACTAAGTGACCTGATTATGAATCCTTCTGTGCAGTTGCTTCCTAGCACTCAGGTATCAACAGTAGTCTGCAAATGTTAGCTATTACAATGATCAAACAGTGCCTTACCCTTGCCTTGGAATTCCAACAGATCTCAATGTTCACTATTATATCTTCCCTTTGCCAATTACAAATGTGGTGGTAGTGGTGTGCCATCACATCAGTGACCGTGATTAGTCTGTAAATCTTTACGGCAGCATCTTTTTCCCACACACAGCTGGTAGATTCAAACAGCTGACCATTTAGTAATAAGTTTTAAAAACTGGAAACCTTGATTAGATAGACTGATGGAATCTCTTGAGATCAAAAGGACAAAGTTGAAAATTTAGGACAGCAGTAATGGAAACAGGAAACACAGGGATGAATGATGTTGCATTGTGGGTATTGCAATCAATGACACAAAAAGAAATGTGTTATGAATTGTTGAATGAAAAACTGATCTGCTTTGTAAGCCTTCACCCAATTCACAACAAAATTTTACTCAAAAATTGGATACCTTTATGTTAGGAAATTCCAGGAGTGAAAAACAGTACTTGACCATTATAAACTTAGAAGAATTAACCATTGACTTACATACTTTTATTTGGACATGCTTGCATTAGTACAGTGAAACTAAATTTGAGACACTGAAAATCATAAGTTTATTATAAAAGAGAGACATGAAGATTATTTACATGATGCAAAATTTCAGAACTTCAGTGGAATGGGCAGCTTCACATGATGCCATTTCAATTGTGATTTATTTCAGTCTACATACTTCCCAAGAATGTCACCATCTCTAAATAAGAAATAGTCCTGTAAATACAGAAACTTAGTTTAGAGAACTAATAGCAAATACATTACTTTTAAAGTTAAGTTATTTAGATTACACACCTTGTCATCTAGAACTACTTTGGTGCCTCCATATTCTGGAAGAAGAACTTTATCTCCAACTTTCACGCTAACTGGTTGAATCTCTCCACCCTTAAGAAAAGATGTTCAATATTATTTAATTAAACAGTTAAACATATTAAAAATGCATTTAGTGGACAAGTGATAAAATTTAGTGGCTAGCTTTTTGTTTTTACAAACAGCATTATATGAGGCTTCAAAAAAGTCTATAAAATATTCCATTATCTTTTAATTCTATTTTCCACAGACTTTTAGAAGGCCCCTTGCACTCTACGATACTGCCAGTTCTTTAGTTACAAATAGCGCCACAAAGGTTTATGTTTTATAATGCAACCATCATGGCTTAAATTCCCTACTCCAAGATCACCTCACCTTGATAGAACATTCTCTTAGAAATGAACCTCAAGGGCATTTATCATGTATCCTGGTTGGCACTCTTAAGAGACCTGAGATCTAGCCAGTAAATTGGAGAATGCCTGCAAAGAGAATTTTTGGTGTTTTACAATGAGACTTGGCGTGCTAGCTGTGCTGTAGGATAAGCACTCAACCATAAGGTCAGTCTGAACCTCAAGGCCGGTGGTTCAAACTCACCTGTGGCTTTTCAGAAACTATATTCAGGGTTCGCTAGGGTTGGAACCTACTTGACAGCGCTGAACAAATTAGACCAAGAAATCAAGTTTCCTCTAGATTTTTAAAGTCTCAAAACTTTAGCTGAAGCATAACCAGCCTTTCATTTTTTTCAATGAAAAAAGTCTGGAAACTACACCTTATAAAATTCATTTCACAATCATTTTTGTTGAAGAGGCAGATTAATGGTGGTTGAGCCAGGGAATGATCCTAAAATAGCACAAGCTTTTTAAAAAGGCTGTTAATACACACACACACAGCTTTTAGCGCTCCTTTACCTTTCCTTTAGATCCGCATCCAACAGCTACTACTGTTGCTTGCAGGACTTTTCCTTGAGATTTTTCTGGAAGCATAATGCCTCCTTTAGTTACAGTTTCAGCGGCACTCCTTTCCACCAATACTCGATCAAAGAGGGGAAGAAACTTTCTAAATGCCTGTCCTGCCTGTAAAGAGAGACATTTTATTTGTAGCGTCCCCCCGCAAATTTACATTCTTAACATGCAATACCATCGTTGGTGTTACATTTCAATCGATACATTTAGCTTTCAAAGACAAACACTAAACCAGGAATCCCATTCGTACGTTCCACCCTTTACGTTTAATTTGATTCCCTAGGTCTGTTAGGGGTCGTTGTTGCTCCTCTAGTCTGTAGCCATACTAGTTTTAAGGGCAACTTTAACTTCTCCCAAGGTCAAATATCTTCCTGCCGCAGGTTCTTCTGAAAATTTTCAGGAAAAGGAATCAATCCCTCCTCCTGGGGCCATGCTCTTTCGCTACGAGATCGCACACCCACAAAGACCCAGCAGAGAAGTTCGTCCGCCGCCCCGCATGTCTGGGTTTCCGCCCCCTTCCCCACACGCGTGCTGCACTGGGATTCGCGTACCAAGAGACCCCCCGCGTTGCGAAGAGTCGACGAGGTTCTCGCCACTTCTCTTTGGGGGTCTCCTCTCTCCAGGGTCTTGGCGGGCCCCGAGTACTAAGTGACCCTTGCCCCTCCAGCCAGGCCCCAGTGGGACTGTCCACGCTCCTCATGGGCCTCAGACTGACCTAGCCCTGCCGGCCTCCATTCCACGAAAACTCACCATGATTCTCAGGTCACCGCAACTCGCACTCCACACTCCCTACGCTGCAGCAAGCAGAGACTCGCAATCCGACCCTCGACACACGTGAACGTGGGAAAAGACCTGCTAACGCGCAGGCGCGCTCGCCCCGACCCCGCCCCGCCCTACGAGAGGGCGGCCGCAACTGCGCGTGCAGCGATTCGTCCCGGGAGCTCTGCGAAAGCCACTGACGCGAGGACCTGGAGGCGGAAGAACTGTGAAATTTTTCTAGGTTTTTCTAGCCCGCTGGATGAGGTGAAAGAAGTATCCCTCCCTTCCCCCCGGAAATGACGCAATGTAACCCTTGACCTGCGGAGAGCGCGGCGCTTTCTGGAAAGTTCTGGAACCGAGCGCGGCCCGGGAACTAGCCTAACAGGGTGCAGAGGGCTGAGCCATCGGGCCTGCTCCTTTGCAGGTAGGGAGGGGCGGGACTCCTGCGCAGCGGGTGCTGATTGCAGGGCCCGGGTCGGGGGCGGGAGGTGTCTGCACAAGTGGTGCGCCGGGCGGGCGGAGCGGCGGGAGGGAGGGGACACGGGCTCATTGCCGTGTGCGCCCTGCACTCTGTCCCTCACTCGCTGCTGACGGCCTTCCTCTCCGCGCGCTCGCAAGCCCGCCAGCCCGCCGCCCCGCAGGTACGCGGCTGCTCCGGGCATGCAGCTTCCCCGAAACGACGCAAATCCCTAAACCTGCTTCCTCCGCTTCGGCCCGGCCTCAGTGGGGCTGGCCGACCGAGAGCCAAGGCTTCCCCGGGACGGTGCAGGCCCGCTCCCGGCATGCCAGGCCTCACCGATCCATGTGGGGTCTCATTATAGCGCGCGGGCCCCGGCAGAGCGCGGGAAAGGGGGCTTGCTCGGGGTAGGATCTGGGGGTTTCACGTGGACCCTCCCGTGCAACCCGCCTTGGGCTGGCTACTGGGTGCCAGGGAGGGCCGTCGATGCCACGTGGGAACCGCATTTTGCCCGGAGGGTAGCAGGGGTACGGTACCTCCACCCTTGACCTTGCCCGGGGTGTCCTAATGGAAAGACACGTGGGGCTGCGCGGGGTGGGCCGGGCCGCCGCCCCCATCATCGCGGCCTCCTTGCTCGCGGCTCAGATACTGTAGCTCGGGGTGGATACATGGAGACCTTCTTGATCAGCTTTTTGCAACGTCAGGAATGTTTTCACTTCCCTGGCTTCTCGGGTTTATTACGTGCCCCTCTCCGCCTGACTTGGGTTTGCAGTAGCGCGTTTGAAGTGGGTGTGCTCCCCGGGCCATTTTAGCGATGAAACATTAACTCGTTTTCTGTGGCAAGGTTGGGTGGTCATGAAGGTGGTGCTCTTTGTGCTGTGTTCGAGATCAGGCCTGGTCGTGGCCTCTTGCCTTAAGCTTATGCTAGTAACTGGTGTTCCCAAGCAGAGGTGTCATCAGTGGCTAGCAGAGGCCATACTTAACGTTTCTTGTTAAGTTGCACCAGTGGCGTGTTTGTACTGCAGAGTACCTGGAGCAGTGCTTGTACTCATTTGGTTTTTTTCCCCACCAGAAATGCTCCGGTTACCTGCAGTCCTCCGACAGATGAGGCCAGTGTCCAGGGTACTGGCATCTCATCTTACTCGGGCTTATGCCAAAGATGTAAAATTTGGTGCAGATGCCCGAGCCCTAATGCTTCAAGGTGTAGACCTTTTAGCCGATGCTGTAGCCGTTACTATGGGGCCAAAGGTATCAGTATTTGTGTGTGTGTGTGTGTGTGTGTGTGTATGTCATTATAGTAATACTTGAAGAATGGTATTTTAGTGCTGCAAATAGTTGCACATTACTTTGGTATCTTTTTTTTTTTTTTTGAGAAAACCAAATTTAATTTACATTTTGAAAATTGCCACATGTTTTTCTTTTGCTTAGCTGTAATGGTCTTAAAACACAAACTGCTTAAGCCACATTTGAAAAAACTGTAAACAGTAATGTGATCAAGTGGTAACGCATATAGCTCAAGGCAGAAATAGTCTTGCTTGCTTGCATGGATCCTTTCCTGGTATAGAAGGAAGTGCCAGGTATAGAAGGAAGAGTATAACTTTCTATCTTTCATAATTATTCCAATTATGTGCTTGTAGATGCTGATAAAGTAAGTCGTATTACTTTCAAAAATCTCAGGCAGCTAAACTTAAGTGTTAGTAATGTGAAGAATATTCTGAAATGTCAGAGTCTACTAAACTGCTATTAACTTCTGCATTGTTCACCCTTTAAGATTATCTCTCCTAATAAACTTAAGACTGTTTTGTTTGTCCTTGAGATTTATGGGTCAGGACGATGAAAATGGCACATCCTGTAGTGAAGCTTTCAACTAATTGACATATTATTAAGCTACTCGGTCTATTTCAAATCTAAATAGTCTGACTTAAAAGAGTGTGTGGTGGTCTCTCTATTACTCTCTCTGCAATTATAGGGAAGAACAGTGATTATTGAACAGAGTTGGGGAAGCCCCAAGGTAACAAAAGATGGTGTGACTGTTGCTAAGTCAATTGACTTAAAGGATAAATACAAAAATATTGGGGCCAGACTTGTTCAGGATGTTGCCAACAACACAAATGAAGAGGCTGGAGATGGCACCACCACTGCTACTGTATTGGCACGCTCTATTGCCAAGGAAGGTTTCGAGAAGATTAGCAAAGGCGCTAATCCAGTGGAAATCAGGAGAGGTAGGAATGTCTCTTTATTATCATCGTGTGGTTAATTTCCTTCTAGTTGGTTCCAACTCATAGTGACCCTGGACAGGGTTTCTGAGGAGGAGCAGGGGAGATTGAAATGCAGACCTTGTGGTTCATCATAGTATTCCAATAAGGCATTGGTTCCTTGCAACTAAAGAAAGTGTTTATCAGAAAATTTATACCTTCTTTCATAAATTGTTCTAAACTGAACTGGCCTTTTGCAAAAGAGGGCAAACATGAAAATTATCACTGTTTCCCTTAGAAGCCAATAGTTTATGAGAGGAATCAAATGTACTATGTACTTTGAAAATAGCTTGTGAGATAAGAGGGAAATCATACAATTTTGATGTTTTCCCTTAGTTTTATGGAAACTAAAGGGTTAAAGAAGGAGCTACATTCACAATATAAAAAAACAACCTTTAGCGCTTTCTTGCCTTTTAATACGACACATTGCATAATATGTTTTATCAAAATCTGTATCCTAAGAAAACTGATGTGTCATAATCCTATCCATCTGTCTTAGCATTCACAGTTCAAATGTGTTTCCTTTGGAAGCAGTTTATGACTTTAAATCACTAGCAAGTATTGATAGAGGTTATTAGTGTACTTCTCAACAAGAGTCATTGTACAGCACACCTTGGATTTTGCAAAAAAGGAGAGTTAGCACTAGTCCTTATCAAGCAAACTGACCCTGGTTCTCATAAATTCACTTGTACTATTGACAGTTTACAATCTTCTGTCAATCCTTAATTACATATTCAATCAGGAAATTTCAGGTCTTTAAAACTTAACAAAGATTGCTGTTGTTGTTAAGTGCCATCGAGTCAATTCCAACCCATAGCAACCCTGTATAGGGTTTCTGAGGAACAGCTGGTGAGCTTGAACCGCCGACCTTGCAGTTCACATTAACCCACAGCATCACACCACCACAAGAAATTCCTTATGGCCGGAAATTATGCGTCTTACTCAGTTGTTGTGTTGTTAGTGCAATTGAGTTGGTTCCAACTCAGTGATAAGGTTTCCAATAAGTAACTGGTGAGTTTGAACCTCTTGTCTTGTGGTTAGCAGTCCAGTGCTTATCCTACAATGCCACACCAAGACTCTTGACTAAATGTTAAGTACCGTCAAATCAATTCTGACCCATACCGTTTCCAAGGAGCAGCTGGTGAGCTTGAACCACTGACCTTGTAGTTCAAATGACTTCGCAGTCTGACACATTAGCCCACACACAGCGCAAGAGTGTTAATCCATTTTGATCCTTATTTGTGTCATTTAACTGAGGTGAGAAGTATTGAGTGGCCTTATTGGAAACAGGCAATGTATTAGATAAAGAATAACTTAATACTGTAAAACTTTACAATCTGCCTTATTCCAATTTTCAAAATAACCGGTGGGGTAGAACTTTACTTGCTATGTAACATCTACATAACATGACAATCATGAGATAAGCATTATGATGACACGTTTTCTTGAACCAGGTGTAATGTTAGCTGTTGATGCTGTAATTGCTGAACTTAAGAAGCAGTCTAAACCTGTGACAACTCCTGAAGAAATTGCACAGGTAAGGGTTTTTATAATCTGTTAATTTAAAAATAAACTAGAATTTTTCTTAATGTGATTTTATTCTATAGTCACATACCAATTTCAGGACATCAGTGATCATATTTTGAGGGTTTTTTTGTTTGTGTGTGGTAGATTCACATAGTAACAAGACAATTGCCATTTCAGCATTTTTAAAAGAAGTCCCCTAAACATTAAATCCTTTTCTCTCCCTTTCTGGAACCCCTGTTGTTAAGTGCTATCAAGTTGGTTTCGACTCATAGAGCAACCCTGTATAGGGTTTCCGAGAGCAGTTGGTGAATTTGAACTGCCGACCTTGCGAAAAGAAATCTGTTATAATATGTGTGAACTGCATCTTGTTTATTCATCTGTTATGAACATTGGGCTAGTTCTAACTTTTGGCTATTTGCTGCAATGAATGATAGAAATTTGAGTTTTTGTTAACTGAACAGTTGATTTGTATATATGTAAACATATTCTTTAGCCATTATCTAAGATGCATGATTTTTGTTGTTCTGTAAGGTCACTGTTTGCTAAGAAAAGTAATGGAATAGTACAAGAGAATCAGCCACCTATTAATTTCATATTTTTCAAAATACCACAGTCAAATAATGAAAGCCACCACTTCATTAGAACTCATACCCTAAAGTTTTTGGGAGTGTGGGGGAGGACATATCAAATAAGAAGCATTTACTGGCTTTTAATTTGGAAGAATAACTTGATTATTTCAGGTTGCTACAATTTCTGCAAATGGAGACAAAGAAATTGGCACCATCATTTCTGATGCCATGAAAAAGGTTGGAAGAAAAGGTGTCATCACAGTAAAGGTAAGTGTATTTTGAATGATGGTGTTGCAGTGAGGTATCTCATCAAAACTAAAACATCCATCTGTGTTTCAAATTGAGTATTACATTTCATTTGTCTATGTATTGTAGTTTCAATACCTGTTGTTGTTAAGTGCCATTGAGTTGATTGCGACCCTGCATAGGGATTCCAAGGAAAGCTGGTGAGCTTGAACCACCAACCTTGCAGTTCAAACAACTTTGCAGTCTGACGCATTAGCCCACAGCACCATAATACCTGTTGTTGTTACGTGCCATGGAGTCTATACAGTGCTTATTGTGTTGAATTATTAGCCTTTGCTAGCATCAGTGATAATTCTGTTATAAATAGCTCTGTGGAGCCATCTAAATGATATTGTCTGTTAGCTGCTGTAGAAAAGATTCAAATACACTTTTTTTTTTTTTTTTCTTTTTTACTCTAGAGTAAAGTACTCTGGGACATTTGCATAGTCCCACCTAGATCATTTGTGACCAATGGGATTTATTAATCTGGTCTGTGATTATATTTTGTCTCTTCAGTGAAATTCATACACCTAATTTTACTTTTAATAGGATGGAAAAACCTTGAACGATGAGTTAGAAATTATTGAAGGCATGAAGTTTGACCGAGGTTATATTTCCCCATACTTTATTAATACATCAAAA